TTTATCTTCTCTCCTTTGCTTTTTGTGCATGTTATTGTTGTTCCCTTAGTCGATAATTTCGTTCAGAGCCTTCAATACTACGTTATGCCGTAATAAATTATCTTCAGTGACATTCATGTAACTCTAATGATTCCAGAAAATGCGTAGCCTTTATGATGAAGAGATGCATTTTTCAGAAATCGCTTTTATTCCAGCAAAGAAAAGTGGTCTTCACCTATTTTCTTTGCTGACTGAAGTGAGACTCTGACTATATTCCGATTTGGCTGGTTTTATGGACCATAAAGGTCCATTATATACTTTATTAAATTTATTGAATGGCAACTAATAAAAGCTCATAATCAGGAGTGAAAAAGTAACAGATCTTCCCTACGTTTCCTGTGACACTTCATGATTTGATTTTTCTATTATTCCTGACTGAAGTTGTCTTCTAATTTTGGAGACGCCATGCCTTAGATATAATCGAAAGTTTTTCAAGTCCTTTTAGGAAGAGTTGCAGATAATAAGTTCTGATTCATTTAAATATCTGTATTTAATTATTGTGTATTATGTGGATCCGAAATTTCAACGCTGTTGCACGCAAATCCTCTATTGATAGTNTTTTTTTTTTTTTTTTTTTTTTTTTTAAATAAAAATAAAAAAATACTGCTTTGTAATTATCCTATAGAAATTATGCCTGTAGTAAGCTATGACTTGAGAAGTATCTTCTGGCAGGTTCTCGCATCCAGGAATGTGCAGCTTTTGCTGGGTTACTTTGTCTGTTCTATAAAAAGAGTTGCACAGTTTGACTATAAAGTAGGAAGACAAAACCATGAAAGACTTAAATTGGAGTTGCAGCCTGCTGAAAGGGGCTTGCAAAGCCAAGATGTAGAAGCAGATTTAGTTTTATGGACTGTCGGTTCAAAACCTGTGCTTCCTCAGCACAAAACCGGTGATAAACCCATTGATTTTCCTCTGAACAGTAGGGGTCAAGCTGATACTGATGAAACTCTTCGTGTTGAGGGTCACCCGCGTATATTTGCTATTGGCGACTCTTCTGCTGTGAAAGATGGGCATGGAAATTTGCTTCCAAACACTGCCCAGGTATCGTTTATCGTTGTATTCCCACTGGTTATGTATCATGTGAAATTTGTCTGAAAAGAAAGAAAATGTTTTGACTTTCTCCATGTACTATATGATTCATTTTTTTTATTTTTTTATTTATTTAATTTTTTTTTTTTCAGGTAGCATTTCAACAGGCTGATTTTGCTGGCTGGAATCTGTGGGCCGCAATAAATGGTCGACCTCTGTTACCATTTAGGTTTGTTGTAATTCCATATATGGCGCGCACTTCATACACAGATCTATAGAAGTCTTTGGGATTTTGTTACACCTTAACATGTTTGAGAAAAAGTAGGGTTGAGAGGTACAGAAATGTACATAGAGCTACACCATACATGTTTTTTTCAATAAATGGCCTCTAGCCTTGTCCAGTAAAGATAAAACAATGGTCTCCTTACAGAGTACTTAATCCTAAGTGTTTTGTGGATGTGACTCGCCATAAAAAACATTTATCTACAAAAATACCACAAATTTTATTTATCAACTGGCTGCAGAATCTGTTTATATCCAAAAAGATAAAAAATAAAAAAATAAAAAAAAAAAAATTGCCGAGAAAACTCTAAACAAGAACTACCCAAATGATGGCTGCTGAACATTGGTCCAGGTTTCAGAATTTAGGTGAGATGTTGACGCTTGGGAGGTATGATGCTTCTGTTTCACCAAGCTTCACGGACGGCCTCACATTGGAGGGTCCAATTGGTCACACTGGTATTAATTAATACCTTTGCTTCATTTTAATCTAATATTAGCAGCTGCTTTGTGATTTTCGTATGATTTGGCTGTTGTGATGCAGCGAGGAAAATAGCATACTTAAGCCGACTCCCAACAGACGAGCACCGGTTAAAAGTAGGGATCAGTTGGCTAACTAAGGCTGCCGTTGAATCAACTGCATTACTGCTGGATAGTATTACCAAAGTGCCTTTCCAACTGTAGAGGACGGTATTGTATCATATGCTGTGCTGTTTTCTCTCACGCAGCTTTGTTCTAATATTTTAGTTGTCATGTCATTTAGTTGGTGATATATATGGATGGTCAGTTTTAACACCAATGAACAGATTACTATCTTTGTAACTAGAAAGATGTCTGCACGCAATAATATCTACTTTGTCAGCATTTAAACTCCTTTTGTTTCACCATGGTTGCTATTCTTTTCATTGTTGATGCAGAAATGCATCAATTTTATTTTATTTATTTATTTATTTATTTTATTATTATTATTATTATTATTATTTTCAAAATCATAGATATTATAACTCAAATAACACATCAAGAGTACAACCGAATAAGGCTAACTAGCCAACAAGCCTTTACAAAGAAAACTAAGAGGAACACTTCATAGAGCCTTAGATTAAAAATCAGTCTTATACCCGACTAGGGTCTAGTGCACTAGGCGCTAGGCGGGGCTTACAAATTAAGAATAAATTAAACAAAAATACAAACACATATAGCCAAGCATAAAACAATAAGAAAATATCTAACATGCATAACTAACAGTTATAAACAATAAACCAAGCATTTATTTAGTTCCAACACAACCATAAAACCAAATCATAAATCCAAGGCTCAATCCAGCATTATCAATTTATCCAAATCTAAGCAGGAAATAAACAAAGCCAAAATGACAATTCAACAGTAGGCGGAAGCATAGATAATAATAAACATCAACCAATGACCAACACATGTTCGTCTTTACGCCACCGCCACCAGCTCAGCTCAGCTCAGCCTAAAGAAAAGGGAGAGGAAACAACAGAAAAATAATGGGGGTGAACATCACCAACAAGCTCACTATTATCGTCCAGTTTATCTCGTATAACATTTTAAAACAATAACACAGTATACAGTATGCATAGAATCCAAAGTCTAACTCCATACTCGGCCCTATCACAAACCTCCTATGTACATATAACAACCTTCCGATCACACACAACAAGGAAGTAACTGGAAACATTCCCATCACCGAATATAACTATGGGCCTGAGATCCTTTCCAGGAGACAGTAGAGCTTAAATATTTAATTTCTTATTTACTTTCACTACCTACAAAATAAAACTATCTCAACTTATAACAATCAACACACCTAAATCTAAATGATAATATTAATGTATTATAAGAAAAACATGATAACAAAATAATGCAATCAACATTTCAAAAAAATAATTAAAAAATTAAAAAATTGTCGTCGAGCCTGCCTTGGCGTCGCCTGACCGTCGAGCTTGCCTAGCTGCTTGGTCGATTTTGTCTGTTGATTAATGCAAATCAGAGGCAGACAAGCGATGCCTAGCGCCTAGGTCACCGTCTAGGCTGATTTTTAGTACACTGCTAAAAACTACAAACTACAAGAATGAGGAACTGTTTCCAGAAAGGACTAGGCCAAACAACCAAAAAAACAGTTACACATCCTTGGGCTCGAGCCAACAAGAAACTGGGGAGAGCACAACAAAATATTGAGGTACCAGTGCACTAGGGGTGCCTAGTACCTCAATCAAGCAGCACCAAAGAATACCAAGAAGAAGAAGAAGAAGAAGAAGCAATAAACCTGACCAACCACCAACAACTAATTATTCATGCTACAGGTTACGTATACTCTTTTCCACAATTTCAAATTATTTATAATACATATTTCCTATGGAAATTCGCTTGAAATCCAGTTTCATCTATAAAAAATTATGTTATTATTTAGAATCGTTTATAAATTAGTCTTTTGGTTGGTTGGTCGAGAACTTAATATGTAAATAAATCCGACATACCATGTTTATCTGAAATTTGTTTGGATAATTAGTGTAGAGGTTTTCTTTACAAAAATGTTTGGCCGTGAAACTTTATTTATCTTTCTAATTTATAATTAAAATAATATATATGATCCATTAAATAAAATCCAATCTATTATATTTTCACAAATACATTGGGCTGCTATAATCAAACAGACATCGAAATATTCTTTAATAAAATTTCTTCCTTTGTAATTGACATACATAAAGTGGTACAAATTAACACCAATGTAATATGAAATTTTGATTTACATATTATTTGACCTAATATATTGTTACCAAATTTTTAGGGAACATTCACCTATAACAAAATGATTATTATTTTAAAAAATTATTTTATATTCTGATTGCAATATCGAATTCAATTATATCAACAACAAATTCTTTCACAATTTTATTACATAATTTTAAGGAAATCCAATCATTTTCGAATTTTTTTTTTCTGTTAGTAAAAATCCAAGAAAATAGTAAAATATATCTCATTTAAAAGATTCATTATTATCTTATCTCAAAATAAGTCAGACCGAATGGAAACATCACAAATCTCGAACGATATTTTTTTAAAATAGAACCATATATCACATTTAACACAAAAAATTTACCACATCTATATAAGAGGTCAATTATACAAATCATTTACCACATTTATTTAGAATTATTTTAAATCTTTAATCTATAGAATTCGACTAATTTCTTTTTTCCCCCACATCAATATGCCGCTCGTGTGGGGTTCTTTGAAGTCGGTTTCCCAAACAAATAAGCCATACTTGAATTTAAGGGTTGTTCGTATATTTGAAAAAAAAAATGGAAGCCAAATACAACAAATTGTAATAATTTTCCATGATGAAGAGGTAAATAATTCTTTTATCTTTTTTTTTTTATTATTATTATTATTATTTTTTGGTACAAAAGAGAGACTAACGTCAAGCAACGTTAGGAATAAACGTTCCGAGGATAAGAGACACTATTAACATCGTGCTCTAGCTGTGGGACAACACCTGATGGTGGAGCTGAAAGAAGTTGGAGACCAAAATGCTAAAATATTTAAATTATTAGACTAATTTTGTAAGATGGGAGCATAACCGCGATGATCGTTCTGTGAATATCCCTAAATTTAAAGATTTTCTTCAAGAAGGCTAAGTTTGTACCGTTTGAAACTATAAAGTTGATAGCAACATTGGCTATAGGTCCACCATCCACAAGTTTAAACTGATAGTGCATGGAATGACTGATCTTTTGAAATTCAAATGTGATTTTCCATGCTGGCGATTTGATTATAAAAATTTAATCACCCTTCGTGATCCTGAGAATGTAGATGAGTCCATTCTTTTTGGTATGTAAGATAATTTAAATACTATATTAATTTACACTTTTTTTTCATATTCCGATTTTAAATTAGTTGTTTACTTGATTATTAGACGTCATTGACTTGGTTGTTTAAATTGGTTATGTCGCGATAAAGAACATCAAAGGAACGCCCACCCAATTGATTGTTTTCCATCTAATGGACTTGGGGTAAGTGGACTGTAATTTAATTTTTCGATATTATTTTGTTATTCATAACATTTGTTCATATAATTGATTAATTAATTAAACTTATTAATTATTTTAAAGGGAGAATAACATCGATTGAGTATTTATTATGACGACATGGAGTAAGTCTTAGTGATTATTCTACTATGCCCTTTCTTGATAGCGGCAGTATGCATTCAATTTTAAATCGTCTGATTTTGGATGAGTTGAGTTACGATCGGAAGGCCCTTGCTGTTGAACATCTTATGCTTCTTGAAAAAATGACTGACGAACAGAAATGATTTTACTCAACAATTATGTCGGCTATTGATTTCGGTCAAAGCAGTGTTTTTTTTTTTTTTATTATACGATTATGGTGGAACGGGAAAAACTTATATGTGAAGGACGTTATCTGATGGGTTAAGATCCAAAGGTGGCATATTGTTGTGTGTCGCATCGAGTAGAATAGCATCGCCATTGAATCCCCACCAGAAATCTTCTTGCGGTATCAATTCAGAGAAGCCCTCTTGTGGAATTGATAATACGCTTTTGTTTGATAATCTGAGATGAGGCTCCAATGATGCACAAACATTGCTTCCAAGCTGTCCAAGCATCATAGCAGGATATTATGGGAGCATTTGATCCTTCTAATAAGGACAAACCATTTGGAGGCAAACCAGTTGTTTTGTGGATATTTCCAACAAATCATTCCTGTCATTCCGAAGGGTAGCCGTCAGGCTATAGTGAATGCTGCGATTAATGCTTCTGATATCTGGAGGAATTGCACTATGCTCAAGCTTATAAAAAACATGCGTCTTCAGAGCCTTACATATTCTGAGGAACGTGAAGAGGTTGCTCAGTTCGTTGAATGGATAGCGAGCAGGTTAAACGATGGTTGTCTAATGATATACATACTTGAGGATATATTGCTTCAGCCCTGTGATGATCCGATTGTTGAAATTGTAGAAAACCCACATCCAAAGTTTAAGCAGACAACCGATGATCCACTTAATTATTTGAAGGATATGGCAATATTAGTACCGACGTTGGATGTTAATGAGTCTATCAATGAGTACATGACATCGCTGCATTTATGTAATGGTTATACGTACTTAATTTCTGATAGTACTTGCAAGACATACTCTAATAATGATTTTGTGTGATATCCCCACAACTGAGTTCTTAAGTAGTATCAAATGTTCCGGAATTCCAAATCATCAATTGCGTTTGAAGATTGGAACTCCCGTCATGTTGCTGCGGAATATAGATCATTCTATGAGCTTATGTAATGGGACATGGTTGGTTGTGACAAAACTACTCATGTTCTCGAGTGTTAGATGCTCACTTGAATAACGAATGCCAGAAATTGTTGATTCTTAGAATGACTATAACTCATTCCGATGTTAAATTCTTTTCAAGTTCTAAAGTCGGCAGTTTCACATTATAGTTTCATACGGCATGACTGTAAACAAGAGTCGGGGACAATTGTTATCGCATGTTGGTTTATTTCTAAAGAAGCCGGTTTTCATTCATGGGCAGTTATACAATTGTTGTCTCCCGTGTCACCAACCAAAATGGTTTGAAAATATTAGTCTGTATTGACGATGACTTGCCACCAAACTAAACCAAACACGTTTTGTATAAGAAAGTGTTCAATAATTTATGAATTTTCAAATTTGTTCGACTCGTCTATATTTGTTACATATATACCAAGTCCATTAAATTTAATATTGAATATTAAAAATGTTTGAGAAAAAAATATCATTTCGTGCATCGCACGAATCGTGACTAATTGAGCATTATAAAAAAAACTATGACAAATGATAGAGATACCTTTGGACGAATATGCTCGAAATGTTGGTGCAATTTTCTTTAGGTTGCTATAAATTAAAGAGAGAGAACATAGAGGAGAGATAGAGAAAAGACGGATGATAAAAATATTGAAGTGTTGACTTAAAATACAAAAGGTAAACTTATACCTTTTTATATGGTAAAATAAAATGACTACTAGTTACACTTCTACTTCTACAAAACATGTAGACATGGCCACAGGGTCGCCCGGCCCTGACCCGGCACGGACCCGGCCCGGTCAAACCCGTTGACCACGGGTCCGGGACCGGCCCAGATTTCAGAAGGGCCGTGTAAGGGTCATTCGTTTCATGACTCGGCCCGGAGGGTCAGGGCCGGACCGGATCGATGACCCTTCTTTTCAATTTTTTTATTATTTTTTTATACTCTTTTTAAATAAAAGCACGGACTCGGCCTGAACCCGGCACGGCCCAGACACAACTCTGCCCGAACACGGACCCGGCACGAGTATAGGTCCGTACCGGTTCAGGGTTAGTGTTTTCGAGCCCGACGATCCAGCGGGCCGGGTCGTGGGTTTTGGCCATGTCTAAAAACATGGTCTTTCATCTTTTCCAATTCGATTTCGCTAAAAAAGCCAACTGGCTCTTTATAAACAAATACTTGCCTTCAAAAGGTCACTTTGATCAATTTCATCGCCAGACCGACCCGTAGAGAGACGAAAAGGCTCATCCTTTAAACTGGTGAAGCTGTCGTACAGGACTCTGCTTCGTTCTACATCCAATTGAAATGGCTACCTTCAAGTCGACTTCCAGAAGAGGTGCCCCGGAGGCGGAAGCCAGAGCCCCTCCATCTACCTCGCGGCGGCGGTCTCACAGCGTAAGCGCTGTTTCGCGGAAATCCCACTCCCAATTCGACGACAAAACTCAGATTCCCTCCGAATTCTCCAACCGCAGAGATAACCCACTTTTCTGGGCTACATCTTCTCCGCCACCGGACAGAGAAGAAAATGAGAGGATCAACGGAAGTGCTTTCTGTAGTCATAGACAATCTTCTGCTTCGAATTCAAGAAGTGCAGGAAACGGCAATGACAGTTGTGATTCTCTTAGCGGACAGAGGGGTCGTTCTACTACACGTGGTTTAAGTGAAAAGAAAGGGATTGGCCGGAGCTTATCGAGGGCTCGAGGGCGGTCTGTGTCTAGAGCCTCTTTTAAAGGAGCTTATGAGGTTTGTGTTTTCAGAAATGATTTGGTTCCTAAGTGTGTGTTTTAGAATTATTAGCTTGCTCACTGAATGGTGACTAGTGTATCAGACTCTTTTGATTTCAAGATAAAAAATTTGATACTTGGATTTGTCTTAAGAGACTGAAGGATTTTAATGACTGACGCATAAGATTGCCATCTTCAGAAGATTAAAATGAATAGATCGTTGATTGGCTTAAACCACTGGGCATTGAATTTAATTGCATCGTGAATTACCGAAATAATGTATCACGTGGAGAATAGTAAATCAGAGCTTTCATCGTTTGCTTATCCAAAGCTAACTCTTTTTGTATATCGTGTGGTGTCTTACTTAATCAAGTGTGGAAATGATCGGGATGTGGTACCATCTTCTATTGCTCAAAGCAGAAAGGAGATTAGAAAAAGTGACAAAGTTATAAGAAGACCAAATTCTGTTGGAAGTAGAGTAGATGTGCAGAGCCGTGCAATGAATGTAAGAGGGCAAGCAAGTGAGTGTTCTGAAGATGATTCTGCTGTGAGTATGATAGTAATATCCTATTCATTCGCCACTTTGTGTTGTTGACCAGTCAATGTAATACAAGTTTTGCACATTCGCAGTGTAGTATGCCGATATCAAATCTGGAGGATGGAATATCAATTGGTTCCTTATCAGAAGCTGAAGAGAAAGCTATTAACGGTGCATATAATGACTTACATGTAAGTCTGAATTCACTTTCTATGTTTTTTGTGATCTTATTTTTTTCTAATCTTATGGTTGGTTATATGCATCTCATGAGTTACATGTAAGTTCTGAATGTGTAATCTCAATATTTTTAGTAATGTTCTCTTTGTCATTCACTGTTTGCCAATGTGTCCACTAGAATATATGGAACTGTTTGATCCGAATGTCTTATGCTATGCTTGATATCTGGAATGATCTTCAGGTCTTAATGTTTCATGGTGTAAGTAGGTATAGTACATTCTTTCTTTT